AGCAAAGGTATATTTTAGTTGACCAAAGAATGTCTACTTGAAACATGAATTTAGGAAAAACACAGTTCTCACAGTTACCCGTTCTCTTCCTGGTGAAGTTCAATTAGATGACATGAGGCATAAGGTGGCTGCAGGCCATTAAAGACATTCAGAGCTTCCTGCAGGGCTACAATTGTGGTGTCATGCTAGTGAGGAAAGGGTTACATGAGAGAACATTACATGAACTGCTTACTCTAAAGATGACACATTTTTATTTTTTTTTAGTAGGATATTGACTGAAAAAGGGAAGTTTGGGTGTTTTGGTCTGCTGATGTTTCATTTAAGTGTGACACAAGACTTACAGCTGAGTATACCATCATCTTCACTTCCTGTTTAGAGTCCGGTGCTGCTGCATTTGAGAGATTCTTAATGATCTGATCTAACAGCAGGCCTGTAAATGAGAGCAAAAGTGCAGTTTTAGCACATTAAAGTGTCGCAGGATCACAGTACTGCATTTGTGTATTCCAGTTTGAATGTAGAAAGGTCCATCCATTGTTTCTTTACACTGACATTTCCCTGCACTATAATTGCACACCGTTTCAGGTTGCAGCCTCTCCCTCTATTCATACAACACTGATTTGCATATGTGTGCATAAAAGTGTCAGAGTGTGTAACTATCAAAATGCTCTGTCAAGAATCCTCTCTCTTCTTTTTGAAATGTCAAAAACTACTCTCAATGTTTAACCTCATATAATGTTTTTCTCTGGGTTTTTGGTTCTTATTATTGTTTTTATTCATTTAGTTTTTTTTTTTGCTGTTGTTGTTCTATATTACTTGGCATAATTGTGAGTTTCTTTGAAATTAATTTAAAAAAAGAAAATGCTCTCACCTCCCTGAAGTCTGCACTTCTCCTTTCTCTTGTACACGCCAAACAGAATCTGAAAACCAAAGTTCTTTAACACCTTTAGCGTCTCCATCACACTTGAAGTAACCCAATCAGGTGGTCGCATCCCATGTTTTGCCTGGGGAAGAAGAATAACGAAAAGAGATGGAGAGAGAAGATTATCTGATCTAACACAGTTCACGGTGTCTGTCTGAGCATTAGGATTTAATTTATTCTGAGCATCATGAGATCAGTCTGGAATAAAATTAAGCAATGGTGATTCGGTTTGAGGTAGGGCTGCACGATAAATTGCATGCGATATTTATCGCGCATCTTATCAGTAAAGCCGGTTCTGTAATCAGCGGTAAATCTCCCATCACCTGCGGGCTTTCACATTGAGCAGCATTAACTACACGGAGCCGTTGTTCACTGACGAGCTGCGCAAAACCACGTTCATCTTTCTGACAAGATGCGCGTTAAATATCGCATGCGATTTATCGTGCAGCCCTAGTTTGAGGTAAGGCCATTATTGCAAGACATTTACCACAAAGCCTCTTAATATCATGAAAGAGTCCACACAGACTCAGAACAGTTTTACCCACAAGCCATCAAACTTGTGAACGACTGTCATGACTCCCTCGTCTGATATTGTAAATGTCCAATAACAATCTAATTAAAACGGTGATAGATATACATACAAATACTGAAATAGTTTGAGAGTGTAGGGAGATAACTTTGTAGCTCACAGTAGGTATTTAATGATTTATAAGTTATCATTTAAAATAAATTCCTCTATGGAGAAAATTAATGGAATTTGCTCTTCTGGAGCCCTAATGCTGCATTTGATAGTGAGTTTAAAAAAAACTAGATTTGCACACACTGCCTTTATTTCAATATATCATTCATTCCTAAAGACAATACTTAGCAGGTGAGATTGATTGGCAGTTTTTAATGCTAGATGAAGCCATGAGTGCATGTGTGCACATAAATGGCAGGTGAAACTCACCTCACAGAACAAGGTGTCATACAAACTCCAAATAGTCTCAATGTTGGCTTTCTCCAGTCCTGTTTTATTTCTCACCATCTCTATTAAGCCCTGCAAAAAAAACAATGACATCACCATGAGTGTAGTAACCATTATGGCTGGGATGGCTAATCTACTGTTTTTTTTTTTTTTATTATTTTTGCACATATACATTGCAAGATAGGATACATGCGAACATTGTAAGTTACATACTAACATGCAAGTAAATTACTAACATGAAAAAATAGGGAGCAAGATTTAAAATGGAACAGACTTGAAAAAAATATGTAAATCAGAATAGCACTAAAACTGTAAATTGACAGAGGAGCATACGTTTTCTGCCATCTGACAAAACATTTTCACAAAATCAAAAAAACGATTTACATTTCTTCCATTTACATGATATTTATCCAACAAAACAAGGATGTTCACAAGGTTAGAAATCTAGGGATTCAATATATTCTTAAAACAGGTCTTAAAATCTTAAAATTTTTAAATCTAAGGTAAGAATATTATCAGTTTAATTATTAATTTTCATTTTCACAAGGTGGACTCACCTTGTAGATTTCAGTCATGTTAAGAAAAATGCCTGTTTTTTCAGTCTCATTCATTAATTGTGTGTAACGTGGACAATCTTCCAGAGGGAATGAGAGCAGCTGGAAAGAAAAAAATACAAACACAAACACACTGAAGGCAGGTCCTGTAGCCATGGAAACAGATTTTTCAACATACAGAGACATTTATTGTTGCTGCTTCTGTGCAAATATGACTTCATCGCTAAAGAGAGGTCAGGGCCAAGTTTTAGTGTGCTGTGAAATTGTGGAGAGAAAGGTGAGAACAGAACTTCAGTGTGATGTCTTACCCTCTCTTCATCCGCTGGGACAGTGTGAATAGGTATTGGTTGCCATTTCAAATCTGGATTAAACACCTCAGAACCATTAGGTGGGAACATGCCAGCCAGGTTTGCTTCTGCACTCATTAGAGTCCGGTCAACATCTGTACTTCTGATGAATATCTACGGCACAAAGACAGGATTACTTATTCTATTTAAACACATAAGTCTGACAACTCTATGTTTAAGTTTATTGAACATGCTTAAACAATAATTTAAAGAGACAGTAACCTCATGCCGGTCATAGTCCTCACTCAGGAATCCTGTGTAGCGTTTCTTTAAAAACTGACCCAGTTCGAAGTGCTGCTTCATTCCCTCCTGGAATGTTCAGAAGATTGAGTTAAAGTAATAAAAACACCCTCTTACTAAATCTTAAAGTGAAAGAATGAAATAAAATCCTTAAAGGTGCATTCAGGTGCTAACTTAAAAAGTTGGACACATTAAGAAATAAATTGTTTTTGTAAAGAGCCATCTGAATGTGAGATGATGACTGATAATACTCATAATAGTTTTCTATAAAAACTGTTTTAATTATGTAAGGAGCGGTTCACCCCCTCAATGTATACATAAACACAATTTAGCACAGACACTTGCATGTTTCTACATAAACTAAAGGCTACTTAAGTAGCACATAACCAATTAAAACAAAGAGCATAAGGTATGTAATATGTGTGTGTCTGCATACTGTACCTGAGAGAGCTGTCCAAAACCCTGGGGCCAGTCACTCTCCTTATAGGGATCAGTTGGATAGGCCTTGATTGGAGATCTGTCACCATGACGATAAAGCTGACGGAGAGGAAGTCACATATCTCGTAAGTATTGGGGATTTATGTGTGTGTTCAGGAGGAAGAACTACACCGTGCAACTGTGCTTAGTTTAGCTAAACCAACTTGTCATGTGCTCATCCTGACACCCGGATAGTACACAAGCCACACAGTTGTCTGTAAACACATTCTAATTGGATGAGCAGATTCAGTCTGTCTCCTTATCTTTATCGCTGTCTTTCACATAAATCAGACATGTTTAAATGTATTAAGTTTTCAGTTCTGGCTTGTGACCTTCTCTCATTTACACTAAGGTCTATAGAAGGACTTGCCTGAATCACTTTCCAAACATTAAAGGTAGGGTATGTAATTTTTCAAAAACACTTTGTTTTGCTTTGTTTCACAGAACTAATCGTTGCCTGGGTTGCGTACGTATATGAGGGGCGGAGCTATCAAAATAGGGGCAAGACCCTTTTGGGGTAGGGGCGTGTTTGTTTTGGTGATTTCAAATATCAACATTGGCTACCAGAAATCGCTTACCCTGCCTTTAAGTAGGTGTTCTAGGAATGCGTTCAATTATAGTCATGTTACACAATCACGCTTAAAATGACACAACCCTCTGGTTTATACTTCCTCATCTGCAGTGACCTGATCGTCATGATTTACCACAGAACACTTCTATTCACTTATTTAAACCATGTGTCAGTATTAAATATGACTACCCACAATACAAAAAAGGGTTTTGAGGTTTTTTATGTGGCACAGAGGTGAAACAAAATGTACGAACATTCATATCTTGAATATGAAACAATAACACCAACATAAGAACAAAGTAGAATAAACACGTGGATTTATTTGCACAAATAGAAGAAAAGTTAAGCCACATCTTTAAATACTCTCATACAGCATAAAAATCTGGTACTTTTATTATTGTGTATAAGCCTAAGTGATTCGAATTATAGAGTGGGATACCTAATTGGGATTTAAACCATTTTTATTTCTGAACGAAAAATTTTGCATACAATATAATGAAGTTGGCACTGGCAACATATTCAAGAGATAAATGATTTTCATAATAAGACCTTTGAGAACAAAGAAATGGTTTACTTTTGTGGGGCTAAAAATAAAGGAACTTAAATTACAATCAAAAAATAAATGGACAGCTGTTTCTTCTGAAATACCACAAAATGAACATGCCTCATCAATGTCAGAACGTCCTTATAATTGGATATACAAAACTTGCCCATCGAAAGCCAGGACATTTACCAGTCTGTACATCCGAAACAAATGAACCACAATAGAATTTACTTGGACTTTAGCTTGCATCAAAGCATTTTATTGCTTTGACTGAACAGGGAGGTGCAATGAAAAAACAAAAACATGTCTCATGTGATGAACCCAAACATTGAGTAAGCTGGTAGGTTTAATGCAATATCAAATAACCAAAGTTTAAGTCGAGAACAAGTTGCAGAGCTAAAAACAAAGTTGGTAGCAAACAATGGTTACTCATGTCAGCAGATATTGCCACTCACACGTCGTTACTGTTTGATACCGTTTCAAACTAGACTGACATCGACATAAGACAGCCTTCGATCCAACATATTCAATGCAAAGCAATGAGAATGAAAACAATTGAAAAGGAGACACAAACATCAGTTCATATTTACACAAAAACACAGAGTTGTAATGCATAAAAATATGACACATAACAAGAAGCCAGAATGTGCGTGTCGTTTTATGAACGGTTATGTCAAACCAGCAGCAGACAGATTATACATTATAGTACTCACCACAGTGACAAACTTCAGCGTCCTTTCTCCATTGGAAAGACTGAAAGCAAAGAGGAAAGCGACGATCAGAAAACAGGACTCCATACTTGTGGACGAGCAGCTGAGGCAGAGTACAGTAACCTCAATGATCGATCGTGGTCTGGCTGATCTGGCAAACACAAGATGAGCTGCAAGTTGTTCCGGGAGCGCTCCCATTGGTCAACGCATTCTGCAGCTTTAAAAACACGTGAATTGATTGGCTATCTTGAAACAGAGAAGGACTCGGGGAATAAATAGTTTGTCTTTGTTGGGTGGTTTATGATGAGTTAACAGTGAAATGCAAATGTCAGTTAAAATGAAAATCCAGTCTCTTGTTATATTTTTATATTTTTATTCAATATTCATGAGTTATTGCTTAACCTGATATCCAGGCCTCAAATAAGGTGCATTCGTGTATTAATACTGATTCGTATATTAATACGCCTAGTATATGTTCACAATTATTTTTAATTATTTTATTTAGCATTTTCATATAGGTATTTTAAAATACTATGTTCATTTCCATAATTATTGTTATTTATGCACATGGTTTAATTAATTAAATGTACCCGTTCGCGCGTGAACGATGTCTTCGGTAGTTGATTACGAAGGATCTGTGTTCTACTGGCTTTGTCTGTACGCCTTTTGGCAGGAGGTGTTGAGCACAGCAACAATTCTAAAGTACATTCGACCCTCTTTTCGGGAATAAACAAAAATATTCCTCACTGTATTTATATAAACCCGAAAACAAAACCAGCACTGAATATATAAGTAAGGTTCCTGCTGCTGAAGTGTCCCAACGTACTTATTTTACTGGATATCTATGATTTCAAGGAGTATATTCGGACAAAAATATGAGGTAGGCCGAATCTGAGACCCCGTGTGGTTGTCTTTAATATATTTTAAACAAAAAAACACTAATAATTTAAACACCATGTAACTGTGAATACATCACCCGTAAACTGTAGCATGCTAACTGCTAATGTGAAAGCTGTTAGCGAATTTTCCTAATTCAAAAACAAACATTTTAAATTATATATAACTTTAACTGGTGCCTTTATTCTGTGACCATGCAGTTAATTTACTTAGTGTCTATAGCACTTTTATATCCCCTGTCTAGCTTTATTAGCGGAAGATAACAGCTGAAGTCAAACATGTAGTAGCCTGTCAGCTGGAGAATAGCTCAAGTTAGAGTGTCACAACACAAGACATGTAAAGCTGATTCAAGTTTCTTCAACCTGTTAGCTTGATGCATAATGTAAATAACGTGTATAATTATTGTCTTTCTACCAGCTACACTGGTATTTAATTATGTATAAAGCCCATTTAATTATATCTATTTATTATAATGTTTAGTTCTTATCTATTTTGGCCTTTCATTTGTTGTTTGCTGAAATATATCTTGTCTTATATATATTATATTATATGTTATCTTATTTCCCACCTGTGTTATTTTAGTATCATATTATAGTTTTTATCAATATTTTGTATATCATTTCTATATATTCCTATATATTTTCTATATAGTTCTTATTCATTTTTATTATAGTTTTAATCAGTTTAGTACATCAAGTTAAACTAAATGAAAATGTTAAGTGAAATGTTGGCAACTAGCTGAAATAAAATAAGTTTAAGTATTTTTTAAATGTATTTTTTTGTTGTTGTTGTTGTTGATGTTTTAGTTAACTAAACCCTGCAATAGAGTTTCTATTTTTCTGTGTAAGATATTAAATATAGTAATTCTGCCATTGCAAATGTGTATTCGTAATCTTTGTAACAATGCTCGATTGTTTTCACACTGCTTTTCCATGGCTTGCCTATTCATGTGACATGGCCAATTTTAAATTATATATAACTTTAACTGGTGCCTTTATTCTGTGACCATGCAGTTAATTTACTTAGTGTCTATAGCACTTTTATATCCCCTGTCTAGCTTTATTAGCGGAAGATAACAGCTGAAGTCAAACATGTAGTAGCCTGTCAGCTGGAGAATAGCTCAAGTTAGAGTGTCACAACACAAGACATGTAAAGCTGATTCAAGTTTCTTCAACCTGTTAGCTTGATGCATAATGTAAATAACATGTGTATAATTATTGTCTTTCTACCAGCTACACTGGTATTTAATTATGTATAAAGCCCATTTAATTATATCTATTTATTATAATGTTTAGTTCTTATCTATTTTGGCCTTTCATTTGTTGTTTGCTGAAATATATCTTGTCTTATATATATATTATATGTTATCTTATTTCCCACCTGTGTTATTTTAGTATCATATTATAGTTTTTATCAATATTTTGTATATCATTTCTATATATTCCTATATATTTTCTATATAGTTCTTATTCATTTTTATTATAGTTTTAATCAGTTTAGTACATCAAGTTAAACTAAATGAAAATGTTAAGTGAAATGTTGGCAACTAGCTGAAATAAAATAAGTTTAAGTATTTTTTAAATGTATTTTTTTGTTGTTGTTGTTGTTGATGTTTTAGTTAACTAAACCCTGCAATAGAGTTTCTATTTTTCTGTGTAAGATATTAAATATAGTAATTCTGCCATTGCAAATGTGTATTCGTAATCTTTGTAACAATGCTCGATTGTTTTCACACTGCTTTTCCATGGCTTGCCTATTCATGTGACATGGCCAGGATACATCATCATTTGGCTCTGTAGTGTTGCATTAAAATGTTCTTTTACACCTTGTAATCTCCTTTGACACCCGTGCTGATTGTGCAGAGACCATATTTAGAGGCAGTTTGAGGTGAGATACAATGCTGGAAGATTTTACATGGAATTGAAATTACCAAGAAATTATGGGAAATTGTCTCATTGTCATCAGATTAATATTGAGTTGTAGCCAAGTTATGATATTCATGAACTTTGTTGGCCCTTTTTTGAAGTCAAACATGTAGTAGCCTGTCAGCTGGAGAATAGCTCAAGTTAGAGTGTCACATCACAAGACATGTAAAGCTGATTCAAGTTTCTTCAACCTGTTAGCTTGATGCATAATGTAAATAACATGTGTATATTGATTGTCTTTCTACCAGCTACACTGGTATTTAATTATGTATAAAGCCCATTTAATTATATCTATTTATTATAATGTTTAGTTCTTATCTATTTTGGCCTTTCATTTGTTGTTTGCTGAAATATATCTTGTCTTATATATATATTATATGTTATCTTATTTCCCACCTGTGTTATTTTAGTATCATATTATAGTTTTTATCAATATTTGTATATCATTTCTATATATTCCTATATATTTTCTATATAGTTCTTATTCATTTTTATTATAGTTTTAATCAGTTTAGTACATCAAGTTAAACTAAATGAAAATGTTAAGTGAAATGTTGGCAACTAGCTGAAATAAAATAAGTTTAAGTATTTTTTAAATGTATTTTTTTTGTTGTTGTTGTTGTTGATGTTTTAGTTAACTAAACCCTGCAATAGAGTTTCTATTTTTCTGTGTAAGATATTAAATATAGTAATTCTGCCATTGCAAATGTGTATTCGTAATCTTTGTAACAATGCTCGATTGTTTTCACACTGCTTTTCCATGGCTTGCCTATTCATGTGACATGGCCAGGATACATCATCATTTGGCTCTGTAGTGTTGCATTAAAATGTTCTTTTACACCTTGTAATCTCCTTTGACACCCGTGCTGATTGTGCAGAGACCATATTTAGAGGCAGTTTGAGGTGAGATACAATGCTGGAAGATTTTACATGGAATTGAAATTACCAAGAAATTATGGGAAATTGTCTCATTGTCATCAGATTAATATTGAGTTGTAGCCAAGTTATGATATTCATGAACTTTGTTGGCCCTTTTTTATTTTTACGATGATTTGTTGATTTATTTCTCTCTGCCCCCAGAATGATGGCGTGGCAGTAGCAGTGGTGGTCTAGCTGTGTGTGAGCCGGTGGACGGCTCTGGGTCTGGTGTGAGAGGGACGGAGCGAGGAAGAGTTTGTGGAGATGAAGGTGGGACAGAAGAACTCGGTGTGTATCCTGTCCAGTCGAGAGCGAGGAGAACGAGGCCTTTCCTCACACAGGATCCTGCAGCAGCTTGTGGAGGAGAAGACACAGCGCATGAAATGGCAAAGCCAGGTAACAGACTCACTGATCTCTGTCATCTGTTGACTTGTAGCCTGTTCTGTGGGAAATATTCAATATTATTAAGACAACCTTATTTTATTTGTTTTGCCAACTGTGGAGCTTTAGGATTTAGGTACTATTTGAGGTTCTAAATAAATACAAAAACTCTAAAGAACTTCTAAATAAATAGCTTTATAGCCATGTACATTTATTCTTTCATAATTATTGTCAAAAATTGACTTGGAAAAAGTACACACTCTGCCCAGCACCCGTAAAGGGCCATTCACAACAAGAACGATAACTATACGAATAACTAGCGTCCACATCAACAAATTATAACTTTCTGTTTATTTTAAGCTTGTGCTGCAATGCTGCAGTCTTCTGCTTTAAATGCGCAAGCTATTCTGATCGGCTGTCAATGTTTATAACCTTCATCGGCTGTAAAACAATCATTCTCAAAGTGATTCCAACAATATAGTTCCTCCATGTCATTATCGTTATAGATGTAGACTTCACTATTCTCATAGAATATGAGACTTCACTATTCTCATAGAATTAAAATGATTATTAACACTTAATAGTTACTGTATATCTATCGTAATAGTTTTCGTCCTGGTTGTGAACAGGCCTTAATATTGTGGTTTGGAAGTGACTGAGGTAAAATCACTGCTCTTTTTTTATTTTCTTTCGGTGTCACAGAAAGTGGAGTTACCAGACAGCCCCCGCTCAACCTTTCTTCTGGCCTTCAGTCCTGATAGGTACGACCACTCTGACTTTTTTCTCATAGTCTTCAGTACAGATCTGCTAAATAAACTGACTGGCTGGTCACAGGCTTTTCCAGTTAAGGCCTATCATCAACAAGATAATCAGAGAGGTGTTTTTGCTATTTGTCTCTTCACAGGTCTTTAATGGCCTCGACCCATGTGAACCACAACATCTACATCATAGAGGTTAAGACAGGAAAGTGTGTTCACTCTCTAGTGGGTCACCGCCGGACACCCTGGTGCCTGACCTTTCACCCTAGCATCCCTGGTCTTATTGCTTCTGGCTGCCTGGATGGAGAGGTTCGAATCTGGGACCTGCATGTAAGTCTTGACCATACACGTATTCAAAGATTGTTTGGTCAACTTGTAATCGTTCTACTCTTTGTTTGTATATCATTTCTATATATTCCTATATATTTTCTATATAGTTCTTATTCATTTTTATTATAGTTTTAATCAGTTTAGTACATCAAGTTAAACTAAATGAAAATGTTAAGTGAAATGTTGGCAACTAGCTGAAATAAAATAAGTTTAAGTATTTTTTAAATGTATTTTTTTTGTTGTTGTTGTTGTTGATGTTTTAGTTAACTAAACCCTGCAATAGAGTTTCTATTTTTCTGTGTAAGATATTAAATATAGTAATTCTGCCATTGCACATGTGTATTCGTAATCTTTGTAACAATGCTCGATTGTTTTCACACTGCTCTTCCATGGCTTGCCTATTCATGTGACATGGCCAGGATACATCATCATTTGGCTCTGTAGTGTTGCATTAAAATGTTCTTTTACACCTTGTAATCTCCTTCGACACCTGTGCTGATTGTGCAGAGACCATATTTAGAGGCAGTTTGTGGTGAGATACAATGCTGGAAGATTTTACATGGAATTGAAATTACCAAGAAATTATGGGAAATTGTCTCATTGTCATCAGATTAATATTGAGTTGTAGCCAAGTTATGATATTCATGAACTTTGTTGGCCCTTTTTTATTTTTACGATGATTTGTTGATTTATTTCTCTCTGCCCCCAGAATGATGGCGTGGCAGTAGCAGTGGTGGTCTAGCTGTGTGTGAGCCGGTGGACGGCTCTGGGTCTGGTGTGAGAGGGACGGAGCGAGGAAGAGTTTGTGGAGATGAAGGTGGGACAGAAGAACTCGGTGTGTATCCTGTCCAGTCGAGAGCGAGGAGAACGAGGCCTTTCCTCACACAGGATCCTGCAGCAGCTTGTGGAGGAGAAGACACAGCGCATGAAATGGCAAAGCCAGGTAACAGACTCACTGATCTCTGTCATCTGTTGACTTGTAGCCTGTTCTGTGGGAAATATTCAATATTATTAAGACAACCTTATTTTATTTGTTTTGCCAACTGTGGAGCTTTAGGATTTAGGTACTATTTGAGGTTCTAAATAAATACAAAAACTCTAAAGAACTTCTAAATAAATAGCTTTATAGCCATGTACATTTATTCTTTCATAATTATTGTCAAAAATTGACTTGGAAAAAGTACACACTCTGCCCAGCACCCGTAAAGGGCCATTCACAACAAGAACGATAACTATACGAATAACTAGCGTCCACATCAACAAATTATAACTTTCTGTTTATTTTAAGCTTGTGCTGCAATGCTGCAGTCTTCTGCTTTAAATGCGCAAGCTATTCTGATCGGCTGTCAATGTTTATAACCTTCATCGGCTGTAAAACAATCATTCTCAAAGTGATTCCAACAATATAGTTCCTCCATGTCATTATCGTTATAGATGTAGACTTCACTATTCTCATAGAATATGAGACTTCACTATTCTCATAGAATTAAAATGATTATTAACACTTAATAGTTACTGTATATCTATCGTAATAGTTTTCGTCCTGGTTGTGAACAGGCCTTAATATTGTGGTTTGGAAGTGACTGAGGTAAAATCACTGCTCTTTTTTTATTTTCTTTCGGTGTCACAGAAAGTGGAGTTACCAGACAGCCCCCGCTCAACCTTTCTTCTGGCCTTCAGTCCTGATAGGTACGACCACTCTGACTTTTTTCTCATAGTCTTCAGTACAGATCTGCTAAATAAACTGACTGGCTGGTCACAGGCTTTTCCAGTTAAGGCCTATCATCAACAAGATAATCAGAGAGGTGTTTTTGCTATTTGTCTCTTCACAGGTCTTTAATGGCCTCGACCCATGTGAACCACAACATCTACATCATAGAGGTTAAGACAGGAAAGTGTGTTCACTCTCTAGTGGGTCACCGCCGGACACCCTGGTGCCTGACCTTTCACCCTAGCATCCCTGGTCTTATTGCTTCTGGCTGCCTGGATGGAGAGGTTCGAATCTGGGACCTGCATGTAAGTCTTGACCATACACGTATTCAAAGATTGTTTGGTCAACTTGTAATCGTTCTACTCTTTGCTTTAATATGTTTTTGTTTTGTTTTCGGGTGATTTGTTGCCACAGCTTAATTTTGCTCAAAAGAATTGTGTGTTTTTGTTTCAGGGAGGCAGTGAGAGCTGGCTCACAGAGAGTAACTCAGCAATTGCATCCCTTGCTTTCCATCCTACTGCTCAGCTGCTGCTCATTGCCACCAACAATGAGCTGCATCTATGGGACTGGAGTCGGAAGGAGCCCTTTACTGTGGTGAAGACTGCTAGCGAGACAGAGAGAGTCAGGTTTGATGTGCTTACTTTTTATCAATTTAAAGGGATAGTTCACACAAAAATGAAAATTATGTCATCAACAACACACTCAAAGCCTTTGTTGTTCAAAAACCCATAAGAACCATAAAAGACTAATAAACATGTTTTTAACGAAACATGAGAGATTTCTGTCCTTCCACTGAAAGTCTATTCACCTTTCAACTTTGATACTTTAAAAGGTTTGTGAAAGAAATCTCAATTAAGCGGTTTATTCCATCTTCTGAAGATACACGATTGTTTAATATGATGAACAGATTTAATTTAAACTTTTATTCGCATATAAACATTGATTAACGCACATACATAGAGCTCATTCAACATGGTAAGAAGATTCTCAAATGGTCTTGCTTGACGAGCAAAAAACGATTGGGTTTAAAACATGCGGGTGAGTAATTGATGACTGATTTTTAATTTTTGGGTGAACTATTCCTTACTTTTTTGTGTGTTTTTTGCAGGTTGGTGAGATTTGATCCATTGGGTCACTATATTCTAACTGCCATTGTAAACCCTTCAAACCAACAGGTGAGTCTTGCTGGAAATTTTGTTGTTTAAGCACAAGACATTTCTATTCTCTAAAATTTGGGACTATACATATGCTTGCATTTGTGCGTTGCAGAATGACGATGATCCTGAGATTCCAATGGACAGTGTGGAGATGCCTCATCTCCGTCAGCGCTCTTTCCTCCATTCCCAGCCTGTAAGACGCACACCCATCTTGCACAATTTTTTGCACATCCTCACTTCCCGCAACTCCGTCCCTCAGTCTGGAGGCACTCTTGCTGCTTCCAGTGATGAGGCCTCTGATTCGTATGGGCGTTACACTGTTTTGAGGGATCGATCCCGACTGCCATACCATGGTTGCGTTCAGTCACTCGGAGTAGTGTGTTTCTGTAGCCGTTGCTCATCAACACGGGTTTCGTCTCCGCCTGATGAGGACCCTTCCGACTCCGCCTCCTTGGAGGGACAATCACATGCATCTACCTTTTCTTCTGCTCGCACAGAGCCGCGAATACCACGGTTTCCTGTTGAATCTCATGCTTCAAATCGGCCCTCAGCATTTAGCTGCGTGTATGGTGGCGGGAGCAACGTGCGGAACATTTCTTCTAGCTCTGGGAGGAGGGGAGTGGCTGGAATGGCACCCATCCCACCTTTCCGGCAGCAACCACCAGGCAGGGAAGATGGAGGCCGTCTCCCTGGGCCAGACTGGATAGGCTGTGTGCTTAATGGACGAGGTAGTAGTATGACTCCACCCAGAACCAGCGCTTCCTCTGTCAGCCTGCATTCTGTCCTGCGACAACAAGGGACTTTTAGCCAGTCACCTGTTTACACCTCAGCTAGTGATGGATTGGGCCATTCTCATAGCAGCGGCAGCACATCAGGGACTAGTTCTAGCAGGCAGCGCCCACCAGAGGAAGCGGGGCACAGCAGCCCTTCTTTCATCCGCAATGTTCTTCAGTGTAACCTTAACCGCTATTTCATGGAGTGTGAGCGAATGCAGGACCTGGTGCAGCCTCTAGAGGGCAACAGGCAGGACCAGCAGACTCAGGAAATGCTGAATAACAACATGGACCCAGAGCAACCAGGTCCATCTCATTACCAGCCACTCTCCAGTGACGAAAACCCTTCACGCAGTCACATGAACCGCTGTAGAGTCTGCCACAACCTTTTCACCTACAATCAGGGTACTAGGCGCTGGGAGAGAACAGGTCAGCCGACATCTGCTGAGAGAAATGCAGCTTGGCAACCTACTAGTCCTGCCCTCCACAGTGTAGCCCCAGTCTCTCACTCTGATCATGACCTACTGGAACACAGACCCATGGAGCCCAGCCCAGACGCCCCAGAGCCTCATGTTCCCTTTTCCCGCAGCACAGCAACTGGTCAGCAGGAGGAGCAGACTATTGGGCTGGTCTTCAACCAGGAAACTGGACAACTAGAGCATGTTTACAGGCAGTCCGCCACCTCTCGCTCAACAAATGTATCACAAGAAGCCATAAACCAGGAAATGCCTGAAGACACACCAGATGACGATTACTTACGCAGGTGAGGCAGCAGTCTTGTTTGAATGCTTAAAGAGGTCATGTCATGAGGAATCAAACGTTCTTATTTGTTTGATATTGAAAGTTTTCATTGTACTAGAAAACATACCAAGTTTCCTCACCAGTCCAAAAAGATTATTTATTGAAATTAAGCTGCACTAATGACTAATTTTCGCATCTTATTGATATTAGATGTTGGCTCATGGCAATCTACATTTAAATGACAGCAGTGCCGATTGATGTTTAGAAACAGTGAGGTAAATAGGAGGAAATAGGGCTCATCTAAAATAATTATTGGGATCAGTGGTTCAGACTTATACTTGCCAAAGTTTTCACTGACCCCACTGCAAAAAAAAAAAAAACAATTCTCTTTTGACCTTATATACTCAACCGTTCAATAATGACTGACAGCACAGACATTTACAATATTACAAAAGATTTTTATAAAATCTTCAAATTATGTTCATTTCAACTTTCTATTAATCAAAGAATCCTGAAAAAATGTATCAGTTTCCAAGAAAATATTAAGGAGCACAATGTTTTTAACATTGATAATAAGAAATGTTTCTTGAGCACCAAATCTGCATATTACAATGATTTCTGAAGGATCATGTGACACTGAAGAAGACTAAATAAATTACACTTAAAATATTTTTAGAGCATTTGAATGCCTTACAAACTTAAACATACTTGGTTTTCTGTGATGTACTGAACTATTGTAGACTCTGTATCTAAATATCAACTAATATAGAGTGGGTTGTAAGAGATCCCAGGCGTGACAGTTCCTTCCCGAAACACTTGGACGCAGGCCCTAGGTCAGCCGGCCAACCTTATTATTGAGCCCAATTATATTACAATTTGTAAAAGGCAAATAATGATTAGAGTTAAATGTGTGAAAGTTTGTCGAACTGTGTTATTACTGGCTGCGTGTAGCATATGAAAGGTTTGTGCAACTGATTGCAGTGTAGATTGTTTTGTAATCCAGTCACAATTCAATGCAGGGTTTGCAAAGATGCTGTTGGCAGTGCAAACTGTATTTGACCTGACAGCATACTCGGAAGTCTGCGTGTGAGTGTAGCAAAGCACTGTTACTCATTTCATATGTGAAGGGACTGTTTCTTAAAGCACAAATGCTGAAAATGGTTCGCATATGAAATGAGCAGGGTTGGGAGGGTTACTTTTAAAATGTATTCCGTTACAGTTACAAATTACTTCATTAAAAAAGTATTCAGTAACGTAATCCAAGTACCACAATATAAAAGTAATGTAATCTGATTACTTTTGGATTACTTCAAGTTACATATGTAAATAAGTCATAAGTAATAGTAAGTAAGTAATAGTTAAGCCTGCATTTCAGCCCGGGCCCGACTTTTTGACGCCCCTAGGGCCGGGCTTCGGGCCAATTTTCACATCATAGTTCAGACGTGGGCCGGGCCTCAGGACTGTTTTAGGCTTCTCCTTATTTTTATATTTTAGCCATCAATTAATTAGTGATGAAAAAAAAATTTGCCGCGCTGGTGGAAACAACACGAGACCGTGCTACTGCGACTGTCAACAGCGGCTCGACGGTGTTTAGTGTCCCGCAGCAGCAGAGCGAGAGTGCCGTCAGCGCAGCTGAACAGATCTGCGTTCAAATGCACGCAATAGGCTAAAGCTTGCCGCAAAGCCCCAGCAAAAGTAATTACCATGAATGTGTCAGGGGGAAATAGTAAGGAGATATTTGAATTATTTACTAATAAACTAGTGTTTTCTGAGTCGGTGTCTAGTATAAGCTGTTTTGGGAGAAGGGGAAAAAAGACGGGCTCGGGGCCTCGGGCCGATAATTCTGATAAGCTGTCGGACACGGGCCGGGCTAGGGCTTATATTTGAGGCCCGTTCAGGGCTCTACCAGGAACTATGATGAAGCAGCGCTAAATATATAGCGTTATGTCAAAATACTCATTTATTTAATTTTAAATTAAACAAATGTAATCCTGATAGTATTCCCACTTTTTACAAAATGTAACTGTAATCTGAATACTTTGTTTTTTGATGTAACTGTAACGGATTACAGTTACTAGATTTTTGTATCCTGATTACGTAACGCCGTTACATGTATTCCGTTACTCCCCAACCCTGGAAATGAGCAACAGCTCTGCGTGAGGTGCTCTGGTGCTAACACACCAGCTGTGAGTTTGATGTCATGTCAAATATAATTTTAATCTTTCTTATTCTTCAATAGCTTATCTGCATATCAACACTGTGACTTCCCCACAGCATAGATGAATAAACTTTAAGTGAGTGACGTGACAAACAAAGTGTCTTTTTTTCATTTTGCTACATAAATTATAAATCTCACCAGAAAGGAATTGCATAGAGATTGGTCAGTGTATTTGTTTTTATGTCATTGTTTTTATATTTGGATTTATGTAAATTTCAGAAGAGCTTGTTGTGTTCACCAAGCATGCCAAAAGTGAAATGCATGGCGGACTTCTGAAATGGACTGAGTTCATTTATAGCCTTCACATGCAAGTCAAAATTTCACCCTGAACTGCTGTAAGACCCCTATAACAGATGAAAGTATCTGCAACTGACAGAAACTCTAAGTGAAAGGAACATGTTTGTTGTATTTATGCTGTTCATAGCAACACAAGCAGAATGAAGCTGTCATTTGAGATTTGTGAGCTTTCATTTCTCACCCTTGTGTTCTCAGCTGTAAGGAACACCAGGTCCTCGGAAGTGCTGACAGTTCTTGAATTTAGTTGAATTTAATTTAATTATTGTAATATCTGGAAAAACGGCATCTTCTATTGAAGAGTGATTAAAAGTGCTTTCAGTGAACTTAGTGTATGTGTACACTACCATTCAAATGTGGGCACAATTTTTTTACATTTTTTAAAAAGAAGTCTTTTATGCTCATGCATTTATTTGATCAAAAACAGTAACATTGTGAAATATTATTACAATAACAAATATATTACAAATACAAAGCTAAATTGTCAGCAGCCATTTGTATGACATGATTCTTCAGAAATCATTCTAATATGCTGATTTGGTTTTCAAGAAACATTTCTTCTTATTATCAGTGTTGAAAGCATTTGTGCTGCTTAATAATATTTGTGGACATTGTGATGATTTTTTCCCAGGATTCTTTTGTTCAAAAGAACATAATTTTTTTGAAATAGAAATCTTTTGTAATATACATGTCTTGACTATTACTGATCAATTTAATGCATCTTTAGCACCAGATAAAATCTTACTAACCCCAAACATTTGAACGGTAGTATATGTGTAGTCTTTTCATCATAGCAATGTAGGAAGAGTGAGTTGCTAGTCTACAGTGAGACTTTTATGCTTAAGACACATAGAATGTGTTTGTGCATCACCAGTTTAGGAAACTACTATTTTTTAAGGCCCTGTAAAACTAGTCCTGTATTTTTATTTGTTACTAATGTCCTTATGAACCCTGGATCAGACTGCTGATGCTGCACTCTGTCTAGTTGAGTCATTTAATGTAAGCATTGACTCATGGCCTAGTATTCAACTGCTTCTCTGGACTGTCACATTTTACTAATTCAAATAAGTAGCCATGCAAACCCTAGGCCACTTGGCTCATAAAGAGAAGTCTGGTTTTGTTGGGTGCTGCAGTTAAGTTAATCGATCCACTTTTATTAACTTAAGTTGAAGTTCATCACATTGGCACTTTTGTAAGGAATCTGATGTAAAATGTGGGACAGTCTTCACAGATTACTCCCCTCAAGGGGTCCTGCAATGCCAGTTACAGTCCTTTGGGGGGCAGTAGCTCATCACACTGCATATGTGGCGGTAACTATGCACACAGATCTCCATCACTGAGTGGCCTATGGGCCTTTATTCTGATGATGTACTTGCACTCTAACACACAGTCCTCCTCTTTTCATGTCACCGAACATCCTGACCCATGTGCATGGCTGTGCTGTGATTTGGCTGCGTTTTAAGGCCAATGCTGTGCAACAAAAAACAGTATCACACTTCACTTATGCAGAAGTGCAACAAGAATTAATACTCTGTCATTTGACGGTCTCCCACGAGTCCCGCTCCAGTTCAGTGTTACTGACTCACAGCTTTGAGCATGGAGCAAAGTTTGTAGACAAAACGAGTTACCAGTAGGGCTGGGTATCGTTCAAAAATTTTCGATATCGATACTCAAACACTGATCGATCTGCGCCTTACTGACGTTGATGAGATTAACCCCTTAGGTATCGAAATTTGGTACCGAACGACGAGACGTTTTTCGATACTCGATGGTATCGAGGCAATTCGGTCGGTGCCTAAAAAGTATCGAACTCGATACCCAGCCCTAGTTACCAGAATTACCAGAACAGGAGGGTTCTGAAATATTTTGTGCATTTTTAAAGAGCCTTGTTTGCTTCATCTCTGTTAAAATGCAGATCTTGATCTTTAAGAGTCAAAGGGAGCAAACAAAGCAAATGTGTGAAAAGGAGTCAGAATCGATCCGTTCTGTTTTTGGTGTGAGTCAAAGGGCAGAAGATGGCATTCTAATGAAGAGCTGAGCACACCCACACCAAAAACATTCACATACACACACATCACACTGACTCATGCTGAATAAAAATGCCCCGCTTGCGACACAACTGTCCGTCCTGCTTTGTGCCCTGACAGTACGAGGCAGCATGTTTTCGTCCACAGGTCTCAGTCTCCTCTTTTAATGGCCTTCAGCATACTCTTTGGTGTGTGAGGAAGTTTGAGTACAAACTCAAACTTAAAGAGCAGGTCATATGGGTTTTTGAAAAATATCTCTTTTGCAGTTTATAACGTAGCTATCCTTAAATGAAAACAATCTGCAAAGTTGTTAATCATACCACAGAAATACAATTTGAACCTTTTGTTGTGTGCATGTCATTTTACCAAGGACTGCTTCTCTAATCTTGGCTTTTATCTTTGTTGGCTTCTACTCTTCTTAATTTGGGCTAACAAGCTCTCCAAACCACAACCTGTAAGTACTATTGATACGTTATGTGTACATTTTCAATTGAGTGCTCAAAATATCTCGTTTTTGTGCTAATATGTGATGTATACCTAGTGCAGCTTTAGGTTTCCAGGTAAAGCACGATATTACTGTCTTACTGAAATAGTTCTGATAATTCGCTAAGGGAGGGGTTTGCTCCGAACTTGCTTGGAACGAATCGTTTCGAAATCATTGGCAAATGACTCTAATATTAAATGTATATTCTGAGAAAATTACAATGTTTTCTGACCTTAGATGCATTTAAACCTGTTGTAGGTGACTCCTACACAATATTAGGACACTTTAAAATACCATATGACCTGCTCTTTAACAAATTCCCCAATTTAACAGATTTTTAACTGATTCCTAGCCAGGCCTGGCAGAGCTCACATCATTACTTACACATTACATTCATTTAGCCTTTGCATAACAGTCGGTAATGAGCATACTAATGTCCTTGTTCAGTTTAATGAGATTTTTAATGATTGTGATGGCCCATGGTGGGGAGTGTTACTGTAGAAACTGCATAGTGCAAATTGGAGGAAAATGTGTCTCCGTCTTCTTTGTGTGATGTCCTGTCCAGAGATTCTTTATATGAGCAGGAGGTGAAAGTCTTCACAATTCAAAAATATGCAAAGCAATGTAATTCTGTTTTGTAGGAGGTTGCTGGAGTCGTCCATGATGTCTCTTTCCAGATATGACGTCTCTGGATCACGAGACCACCCCATCTATCCCGATCCGGCCAGGTGATTCATTGTGTGTGTATGAGTGTTGCGTGAACTGCATCTCATGGTCATGCCACTTGGCCGGTGAGGTCTAGGTAATGAGGAAGACTGTGTGTCATGTTGCCGGTCAGCAGTGTGACATTTCAGACCTGCCAGCACCCCAATGTCTCCCTAATTCAAACACACACTCACATAGCCTGTCAGCATCCTCTGACTCTGAGCGAGGCTCATAATAAAGTGAGTTCATGGCTAGTGAGTCATTGTTGAGCTCTGGGGAATCAGCTGTGGTCCAGGATCTAGACAGATTGTTAGCACGGACTCCCGCTGGCAGGTTCGCACAAACACACTGGCTGACGCGCCACTAACCTGTGAATTACCACAACAGACTCATTTCCCCCTGAGCAGAATGTACCTGGTGTTAGAAGCCATCCGAGCAGAGGGATAGTCTGACTCCAACACATTCAGAGCCACAAGTAATTGGCGCTATATGACATGGTTGTTTCCTGATCTCTCTCTCTCTGTCTGTATATTGGTCGAAAAAAACACGTCCTCGAACACATGCTGATAAACTGTGTGTGTGCATTGTGTTTAGGCTCTTTCAGACAGACTGTCACTGATTTGGCTGATTCTCAGTTCCTTAGAGCTCTAAAAAGTTCTGCCAAGTTTCTGTCCCTGCAATTGTATGTGTGTGTATGTGTTTGTGAGGGACAATATTCTGTTTCGTTTGCTTCATAATTACAGTAATTCTCTTTGTGATTGGTAAGGATGTGTGACCATTATCACACCCTGTGGTTTATTTGGAGTTTAGCTGTTTGTCTTAGCATTAAGCTCATCTGTTCCAAGCTGGTGGCAGATGTCCTTGCTCAACTAGTCCAAGACAGAATGAAACTCCAGATGCTCTTCCGGTCTAAACTGCACAAAGGATTTTAGTTTTGTGGGTTTCATTCAGCGAGTCCCTTTTCCAAAATGCTAACTAATGTCTCAGCAGCTTGAGCAGTTAAATGAGAATAGATGCAGCTTTCATTGAGTGGATACGAAAGAAGGTTTTTGAGGAAAACATTCCAGGGTTTTTCTCTATATAGTGGACTTCAGTGGGGTTTCACTGGGTGGAAGGTCCAAATTGCAGCTTCAGTGTAGCTTCAAAGCGTTCTACACGATCCCAGACGAGGAAGAAGGGTCTTATCTAGCTAAACGATCGGTCATTTTCTAAAAAAGAATAAAAATTATATACTTTTTAACCTCAAACGCTTGTCTTGTGTAGCTCTGCAATGCGCATGCGTACTCTGTGCAGTCCCATTCGAAACAGTTAGGGTAGGTCGAAAAACTCCCATCTCATTTAGCACAATAAACATGATAATCAGAACCAAAACAGATGTTTTTAGCAGGTCTGAGCTGTAATGGCGCAGCTCTATTCTGGAAAAGGGGGCGGGGAACAGCAGCTCATTTGCATTTAAAGAGACAGGCCCGAAAAATTGCGTGTTTCTGCTTCCACTCAAAATAGGCATTTTCAAAATGATATAATAAATGACCTGTGGAGTATTTTGAGCTGAAATTTTACAGACACATTCTGGGGACACCAGAGACTTACTTATATTACATATTGTAAAAAGGGGCATAATATGTCTCCGTTAAAGGATTAGTTCACTTCTGAATAAAAATTTCCTCATAGTTTCCTCACCCCCATGTCATCCAAGATGTTCATGTCTTTCTTTCTTCAGTCGAAAAGAAATTAAGGTTTACCCTAACTGTCATGAAACTGTCATGAACCGGAATGCACAGAGTTCACGCAGAATTAGACAATACGAGCGTTTGAGGTTAAAAAGTATATAAATGTAATTTTTTTTTAGAAAATGACAGATCGTTTCAGTAGATAAGACCCTTCTTCCTCGTCTGGGATCGTGTATAACACTTTGAAGCTACACTGAAGCTGCAATTTGGACCTTCCACCCAGTGAACCCCACTGAAGTCCACTATATAGAGAAAAACCCTGGAATGTTTTCCTCAAAAACCTTAATTTCTTTTCGACTGAAGAAAGAAAGACATGAACATCTTGGATGACATGGGGGGTGAGAAAATTATGAGGAAATTTTAATTCAAAAGTGAACTAATCCTTTAAGTATATATCAGCTGTGCACAAAAGTTGTTTAAAAACAGAAGATGATCAGAGGAGGTTCCTGTCAGGGTGGAAAAGGTCAGATGGTTACTTACAAACATAAAAATGTCACTAATTCAGTGAACGGAAGTGAAACACAACATGTTTATCTGTGAATCAGACCGCTTATACCTGAGTCATTTGGATTGGTTTGTCTATACTAATGTTATATGGATTAACTTAAACATCTCTTATTGGCCATTGCTTTAATGTACTCAGCAGACAGTTTGTGACTGGTTACAGTGCTGAATGGTTGAAACCACAGCTGTAGTTCATAAGTTTAAGATTCTAAAGTATCTGTATCAGTATTGGCAGTATACCAATATTATATTGGCACACATATTGTGTATCAGTGCATCTCTTAGTACATGTATTTATTTGATTCATGCGTCAGGACAGAAACAGTAGGATGACTTGTTTGGTATGTTGCCTAGTAAATATCTAACATCACTGTGGGTTCTATCTGTGTTGTGTGTGTGTAGGTTGTCCCCTGCAGCATATTATGCACAGCGTATGATCCAGTATCTGTCTCGGCGTGACAGCATTCGCCAGCGCTCTCTGCGCCCCCCCAGCAGACCCCGACACCTGTCCTCCAATCCCAGCAGTCTCTCCCCTGGCCCTGCCCCCAGCATGGAGAACAACGAAGTTGACTTTGAGGAGTTTGAGTAAGTAAACAATAACAGACACATAAAGCCTGTGCCAAATTGTTTCTGCATTCTAACCTGCTCTCATCCGCTCGTAAAAATCTCTATGGATTTATTTTCCTGTTTTGTTGCTAAGCAACCCAACAAACATACAAGGCAGGCTCTGAATCCCAGAATGTCATCATTTCTGCTTTTCAACCGACTTATTGAGCTTGCCAACAATTTTACCAGAGTTGCCCGTGGCATCTCTTCTTATAGTGCTTGGCATTAGCGTTAGCCTTGGCTTGAAATGCACTTTAATTCCGATGGGACGTAGTAATGTACTGCTTTGAGCTTGCTGCTTTATTCCAGCTAGACAACTGTGAAATTATATAAGTCAGAGAAGAATTTTTCCTCTCATCTGTTGTGTTTTCAGTTCAAATCAAAGTTTTGTATTGTGCTTTTCAAAATACATATTATTTCACAGCAGGTTTACCAGGGTTCCTAAGCAGTTTGGAAAAGTATGGAATTTGATTTGAGTCATTTCCAGGTCTGGAAGAGTCCAGACTTTTGCCCCTATTTAATTTTCTATAATAGAAAATTAAGAATTTAATGAAAATACATTTATCATACAAGAAGTGTGTTTTCATGGCAGCTGTTTAGTGATTGTCAGACACGACTGAATGAATTCAAGGTCAGTGCACTTTTTCATTATGCAAAAATGCAGGTTATAAGCGTTTTGGGTTTCTTCTCACGATATTCTTAGCACCGCATTACAGAGTTTCTAAAAGGATCTTTTCAAAAATAAAAAAATATACAGACTTTCATGTGTGCACGAGAAACCATTAAACTTAGCATATAGGACAATGCACACTGAGCCACTTATTGTGCCATCAGCCCATTTCGCGGTGAGGTTTTTTGGCCGCCACAGAGTATGCGTTAAAGCAGACTTAAAGCCTTGAAATGTGACATACTGCCCTAAAGAAAGACACATTTTTAACGCTTTTTATAGTACCAGCCTTTTTTATAAACCCTTGAACTTGGCAAATTGGACAATGCACACAGCCGTACTGTGCCATCAGCCCAATTCGTGTCATTGTTTCTCCACAGATGATGCGTACTACCCTCAAATATATCTCTATTAATTTGTGTGTGCGTGCAAAAGTCTGTTTTTTTTTTTTGCTTTTTTTTAGGGGCTCTGTATGTTATCACTTCGAGAAAATCAATAAAAAAAACCCTGAGAAAATAAAAATATTTACAGATGACTATGTAACAAATATAAAGCTGAAAACAATGCTCTATGAACCATTTATTTTAAGGTCTGAAAATCTACTGAGAGGTTTGGAAATTTGAGTCTTGAAAAGAATGGAATTTAGAGATGGAAAATGTGTAGGAACCCTCGTTTACTAAGAATAGTGACTTACAACCCCGATCAAGCAAAAAGGAAACAATGACAAGGAAAAGCTCCCCACTATGTTTAAGTAGATAAGGAACAAACTTTGGTCAAGCTAGGAAAGCCCACCTGCTCGCGCTGTCAGATATTTAAACAAATTACATTAAAAAATCTTACTGACCACAAACATTTGGATGGTAATGTTCTCAAAAGAAGTCTCTTATGCTCACCTAGGCTGCATTTATTTGATCATAAATACAGAAAAACGGTAATATTGTGAAATATTGTAAAAATGTAAAATAATTGTTTGAAACGTATAAAATGTAATTAACTCTTTTAATGCCAAAATAATAGACAGGATTTTCATCCTTACTGGATGAAAATATTTTCCAAAAAAATAAAAATAAATAATAATCAAATAAATAAATAAAAGTCTTGTTGACCTCAAACTCAAAACTGAACAGTAGTGTATACACAATGAATACATAAATATATATTATAGAAGGATTTTTTTTTTTCATAAAAAAAATAAATAAATAATAATAATTCTGAAAAAAAGTCCCATTGACACCCGCATAAATGTCAGAGCAGATTTCCAGTGGTGGCTTTCCTCTTGTGCCGGGTGTTGAATGTCGTCTTCCACGTGAAACGGAGCTAACCCATTCAATAGGGATGCAACGATTATAGATTTTGTTGGTACGATTATTGTCTGAGGAATAATCACGGTTTTACTGTTATGACGATTATTATGCATGTATTCATTTCCCAACATTAATTCAATTCAATTCAATTCAAGTTTATTTGTACAGTGCTTTTCACGATACAAATCATTGCAAAGCAACTTTACAGCAAATTAAGTTTCTACAATATTTAGTGGTAGCTTATCAGTGGTGACTGTCAGTCAATGTACATATGGCAGAAATTAGGGCTGCACGATAAATCGCACGCGATATTTAACGCGCATCTTGTCAGAAAGCCGGTTCTGTATTTAATGTTTTCAGTTTGTACTTTCTTTACATTTCTTTCGGACCTGGGGTAGAGAATTTGGAAACATGGTGAAAAAAAAATCTTGTTGGTTTTTACTTATGAATAATACTACAACAGGGATAGTAAATAACAAAGTTAATGAAGTAGCTCTGATAAGCACGTCATTTTAAGCTGGTGCACCGCTAGTGTAACTTTGTTTTCGTTTTGCGCAAGCTCCAACAGTTCCGTTCCATGTAACAGAAACACTCGGGTTAGCGGAACCTTTACGATTAATTAACCGTGATGTTTTAAAGCGCGGTTAATCGCGAAACCGGTTAATCGCTGCATCCCTACCATTCAACACACACAACTACCAAACACATTCGACCTGAATTACCATAGTAACACACATCGCTTTCACTTATTGATGGCACCATACACTCGATTGGCAGGCGTAGCAGATTTCGCCATCGTAGCTGCCAGGGTTGTGTACGTACGTGTGGGGCTTAGTTATCAAAACAGGGGCAAGGTCCTGTTGGGCTATGGGAGTGTTTGTTTTGGTGCTTTCAAATATCAACATCATTTGGCAAAATTCGCTTACTTCACCTTTAACTATAATGCAAATTAAGTGTAATGATTATAATGAGTTCTAATGAAATAGGTGCCCATGGGATATGTGAGTAGTGGGATACCGGCTGTGTGTATATGACGCCTGTTAAGACATTGAATAAGACTCTGCAAAGGCAGATGGGGCACAGGGGGGTTGAAAAATAAGCTATTTTTTGAATTTACTAAGCCATTACAGTTTTTTCCATAAGCAAATTATGAAATTACATGTCCCTTGCAATCTCATTTTCAGACATTTAAAAATCTAAGCCATACTCTCTTATTTTGAGAACTTTTATAAAATCCAGACTCATATTTGTAATATGCAAACGCTCTTTTATTTTGTTTGTTTTTGGAAGCAGCCAACTTGTCTGTGCACATGGCTTTAGTTCTTTTATGGAACCATTAATGCTCCAAAAAATGTCTCTCTTCTCCTCTCTCCAACCCCTCCACTAGTTGAATATCAGTGTTTCTCTCCTCTCCAAACCACGCTTCTCTTCTCCCCCTCTCTTTCTCTCTTTTTTTGGCACGGATTAGATGCCCTCCTCTAAGCTGATGAATAATTCCACCCGCTGGCTGGAGAGTTCAGCGTTCACTGCAGTCTGGGACCACAGATCCATATTCATCAGAATACTTATGAAACCCATCAGTCTTTCATTTAGCTCTCATATTAATATTTATGTCTGCCAAAAAAAAATTTTCATAAACTTTTTCTTTTTTTTCAGTTCTTTATCATTCATTCCCACTCTTACCTTGTAAGCGTACTGATGACGTTCTCATTCAGCTAAAAACATTATTGCAGAAATGCTTAAGCTGTTTAATTAAGTATTCACACTTTGACTTAATTTTCCAAAATTATAAAAGACAAATTATTTTAAGCAAGTTATATTTGATCTAATTATTATTGTTGCTGACCATTTGGTTTGTGTGTTTGTGTGTGTGTGTGTCTGTGTGTGTGTGTACAGGGACAATGGAAGCAGACATAGGGCTCCTCGTAACGCACGCATGTCTGCCCCCTCCCTTGGTCGCTTTATGCCCAGGTAGGAACACTTTTAGTCTGTTTATGCCAACGCACCAGAAATACATGCTAACTCTGTTCCAAAACCTAGTGAGCTGCCTCACTGCCTGCTGCCTACATGGACAGCGTCCATCTGAGAGTGTGTTGTGTGTAATACAAATAGCACTCTGCTGGCACAAGAAGTACACAGGAGACTTGACTCACAGTTGATTTCAATACAGTTGATGTGAGAGATGACACAATATTCTAATAATAATAATAATATTATAAATAAATATTATATTATTAGAAATATACACTACTTTTAATATAAGTTTGGGGTCAGTAAGGTTTTTTCAAATGTGTTTTATCTTCAACAAGACTGCATTTTTTATTAAAAACAGTAATATTAATAAAAACACTAATATTGGGAAATATTATTACAATGTAAAATGACTGTTTTCAATTTGAATATATTTTAAAATGTAATTTATTTTTGTGATGGCAAAGCAGCCATTACTCTAGTCTACTCTATTATCAATGTAGAAAACAGTTGTGCTGCTTAATATTTTTTTGTGGAAACCCTGATACATTTTTTTAGGATTCTTTGATGAATAGAAAGTTCAAAGCGAAAGTTCACATAAGTTTCACACTATGAAAAAGAATTCTGTTGTAACAGACTTTACTGTCACTTTTGATCAATTTAATGCTTATTTGTTGAATAAAAGTATTAATTTCTTTTACAAACTTTTGAACAGTAGTGTACATAGCACACACATTTGGGGAATTAAAGGGGTCCTATTATGCTCTTTTACAAAGTCTTGATTTTGTTTTGGGGGTGTACTAGAACAGGCTCTCATACAAGGTTGTTCGAAAAACACATTATTTTTCACATTTCTTTAGTGCAGCTCAACCAGGTCTCGTCCTTTGATATCACAAATCCCGGAAAATATGCGTTGTAGTCCAAACGAGTCGTTCGTTGTAGTTTTTGAAAAGTGATTTCTGTTCAATAAAATATATCATTGTGAATTGGACTTTGAGCTTTGTAACTTTGCAGATCTTTTTTATGCTCAAACAGCAACATTACAGACTAACTAAAGTTGAAAAAGTTAAAAAGCATAATAGGACCCCTTTAAAGAAAAAAATTAAATTATTTAAACTTTTTACTGATACTGTTTACAATTTAAATGTCTATTGAAATTAGTTTTGTTATCAGTTACATTTAAAATCTGCATTTATTTATTTATTTATTTATTTTTTTCATTTCATCTGTCATGCTGGATATATTGTTTTACTGAGTTTTTCACAGTGCTCTATGGAATTTCCTTCTCTGTGAAATATGCATGTGATGCTGATATGTTACACAACCTCAAAACTCTCAAATCTTGGGTTCACATGTTTCCCTCCATCTCTCCCAGGCGGTTCCTCTTGCCGGAGTTTTTGCCGTATGCTGGAATCTTCCATGAGCGAGGGCAGCCGGGCCTGGCAACACACTCATCCGTCAATAGGGTCCTCGCAGGTACGTTCGCCCTCTAAAGCTACAGGAGTTTTCTAATATTAGATGGGCTGGGTACTTACTAAAGGCTTTGTCAGGGATGAAACTTCCCAGAAATGTTTGTATAATGTCATGTGTCGGGTCAATGACGAGTGCTAATTCGCCCACTCGCCCTACTATTTTGGCTAGGAGGGCTCTCAGTGGGGCTCTTTAACAGCAGTTATATTAGCATGGACTTTTCTGCATTAAAGAGGTAGTTCAGCTGAAAATAAAAAATTCTGTTGTCATGTGTTCACACTCATGTCGCCCCAAATGTGTTTTATTAGCTATTATAGGGCTTCAGAAGCCATATAACACTACAATTGTTTTGACTACTTTTTTTTATATTAAACAACTTCAGATGAACAAATTTTGAGTGAACTACACCTTCAGTATTATGCATATATAGCTGGAGTGCCATCAGCGAAGTATTAGCTACAGACAAATTGTTTCAGCTAATTAATTATGTTTTCTCCCTTGCTTGACACAAAAAGCTATGGTTTTGTATTCCATATTCTAAAGTCCCTTGTACCCTACCTCTTGCACCAAACCTGCACTTCAAAACAACTTTCTAAACACCCAATAGTCTCAAAATATACATCTTGGTACACCTGTATGCCCTCATCTCAAAAAAAGATTTTTGTCTTGAAACCAGCTGCATCACTGAACATCTTTCCTACATATAGTCAACAACTTCCAGAAGTGCGGAAAAATCAAACGTTGTGAATGAATAGTAAATTACTAGAGGTGTACTGTGGAAGCAGAAAAAAAAATTATATTTAGGAAACAACATGCACATTTGTTTTTTTTCAGGACCAGCATTACAAATTTTTATCAGCCATCTTTTAAGTGCTTGTGAGGGTGGACGTCCCTTACTTCACAGATCCCACTCCCTACATACCCTGCACCAATTCAACATAATAAAAGTCCACAGAGCCGTTTCTTGTTTTTGCACACCAGCATTATTTCTCTCTCCCACACAGAGAGGCATCTTCAGCCCACACTAATTGCAGTGTGTGATACGAGGTTCAGAAATGCCCCTCTCCAAACCCTCTCCAGCTCACACAGAAGAGCATCATGGCTTTACTTTACAGAGCAGCAATCGTTCAGTCCCTCTCCTCTCCTTCCCTTCTCCTCTCCTCTCCTTTCTATTTTTTAAACTGAAAATTCTAAATGAAAATTCTGTCATCATTTATTTACTCTTGTGTCATTACAAACCTGTGTTACTGACCTTCTTCTGTGAAAGATATTTTGAATGTTTCATCTTTTTTTTTCCAAACAATAAAAGTCAGTATGGTCTAGTGTTGTTTGGACCCTAATTATCTGCAGAAGAAAGAAAGATGTGCAGTAAATGATGACAGAATTTTCATTTTTGGGTGAAATGTATTGTGCAGCTGTGATGTAAACAAAGTCCATGTACATGGCAGTGTTGGAACAGATATTACAGTCATCTGACATATTTTTCTGTGGCAAGATGAATTATGTGCATAAATTAACTGTGAATTATTGTTAAATCAGTACTTTATCTAGTTTTTGTAATTGTCAAGTTCACTGGGGGTGAACTAATCATATTGAATTGTTCAGTTTTTTAAATAGAGAATGACTTTACCCAGCATCCAATAATCACTCTTGGGATTAAAGTTCAGTAATAGTGGTTGTTTTGTGGACTCCTGTTATATTGTGTTGCAGAGGGTAGTTGCATAGCCATGAGGTATGATTGGCCCTTGTTCTAAGATGAGAGGATATGACTGTTATTGTGAACTCCAGGGCAAATGTCCAAACCGAGGCAATTACCAGCACACATTCCCCCTCTTCAAGCATTCTCCTTCTCTAACTGCTCTCAGACAACCTTATACAAGCCCCACAGTGCAGAGTGCAAATACACACACACATTTAAGACACAACTTTCCACATGCCCAGGATTTCTCTCTCACTCTCTCTTGCTCTCAGCACTTTTGCTGTGTACTTATTTCTCTACTCTGAAATCAGGGATCTTCAATTACTTTCTTTCGAAAGCCAGATTATCCAAATGAACATTTTAGAGGAAGGCCAACATTTTTCAAAGTAGTTATTAGAATATAGCATTTTCATTTTAAGTCTAAAATGTTATCATGAGAAACAAAACTAAACACACCTAATGTGCTCAATGACTGAGAAGATAGACAGACATTTGTCTTTATTCAGCTGTCCTACTGTACACATATACACTCTACACTATACACACATACACACATACATACACAGTACACATGATCATTAATGAGTAAATTCAAAAAGATGATTTAATGATGTTCAAGCTTAAGAATGACTCATAGCTGTATAGAACCAACCATTGTATGTATGCAGGTTCAGTGGCTCTTCCTGATATCACTTTTTACGCTACACTCTGAACAAATGAGCTGCAACAGTTTAATGCTTGATGTCAACAGTCAAGTTATTTGCATAAATACATCTGATTGAGTGTGACTTGATCAAATATGTGTGATTACGATGTGCTGGGTCATGTTTAGAAAGTAGCTGAACTATGACCATTGGAAGCTGAAAACATGCTGTGCTCTGGCCTTGTAATTGTTGACCACTTGAGTGCTTTTGATTTCAGTTTTGTAAAGAGAGCACTCTCATGTATCAGACAGCTCTGTATAAATTTATATAAATTATAAAAGGGCTGTATAAATTGATTAATGGGCTACTTTTGGCCCATGGGCCACTTTGCTGACAAGCCGTGTTCTTGATTCTCCTCTTCTTCCCCTTCTGCCTACCAGAATGTGTCTTGTGTAATGATATTTGTTTTCAATGAGAATTTTGGTGGTTTGTAACTCAACTTCAAACTGTCCAACTATATTTAAGCTATAGTTCTCATGGAAACCAAAACAAGACTTTGGGCATTATCTTAGGGTTCATAAATAAAAATATATTTAATAAAAAAAAATTTAAACAGACATGGATGAATTGTTCAATAATATTTATAACATGCATTTACAAAATAGATACGATCGGTTGCCTTATGTGAATATAATCGTTTGTTGAAAAGTCTGATGAGAGTTTCACATTGTTCAAATTTAATCAGCAGTCACACCATTGAGAAATATTAGGGTGTGTGTTTATTAAATACTGTTTAACTACAGATAGGAAGTGCGATAAAACCAGAGCTGGAGGGCCTTAGGATGGAGTGTGTAATGAATGAAGGGTTAGTGATGGGGAACAGCGACCCTCTCTAATTCAGCCCGTCTCTGATCCATTCAGTCCTGTGCCACCCAGCTCTGCAGGCCTGACGGATCCCTCAGGCTGTTGTTGTCAGAGAGAAACCCAGTTTATATGGACTTTTCAGAGCATGAAAAACTGCAGCACAGACCCAATTATCTTTAATGGAATGGTTCTTTCACCAGACTTTCGCTCTCTATTCTTGCTCTGTCGGGTCAGTGCTGAAGAGGCTGGTGAATATATATGAGGCTTATGACTGAATTCCACTGCATGGGCAGATTGGTAATTTATGTTTTGGTGTGTGAAGTAAATTTCAACCATTTTGGAAAGCACTGATATAATTAGTTTTATCATGAAGAAACACATTTTTCTTGGTAGTTGTCCTTAATTCAGTTATTGTACGGGACACTTGTGATGACCTCGTTTAGCACACGCACCACATGCCATACAAAGACTCCCTCGGGTAATCACTCCTTAAAACACTCAGTAGAGCCGCTCTTAAAACACAGCTGAGTCTACGTATGGAGAGTTCAGGAGAGGTCTCCCCCTCTCTCTCCCTCCTTGTTTCTCTTGTTTCTCGTCTTTGTCTTTCTGGGCAGCTCCAGGTAGTGACCCGTTTTTGAGAGGTGCAGCATCAGTAATGCCCCTTAGCAGCTCTTTATTCTTTTGCATTGGCAGAACTCAGAGGACTCAGAGTTTAGGGGTCACATGTCATAACCATTTCCTGCTCTATGGATAAAGGGTTTCTGATTGTAAGATACTGTTGAGAGGTACCATAGCTCTGTAAGGAATGGAATACTCGCTTACTGAATACTTAAGCAGTGCGGTGTATACTGTATACAGACTTCTAGTTTTTTTTAGTAGTATGTGAAATAACCGTATTGTAAAATGTATTACATTATTGTTGTGTAATGCATTCTATCATAGATCAGACTGCAGAATTGTTAATTATTGAAGTTATTTAGTTTAACATGTTATATATTTTTACATGTTTACATAACACACGAACACACATATACACGCATATATATATATATATATATATATATATATATATACAGTGCACAGCATAAATGAGTACACCCCCTCTGAAACTTAACAAATTCAGCAATTACTCTTTGCTTAGAAGACATGT